CAGTACCCTAAAATCCCATTTTTACCCTTATAAATGATAAAAAGAATATGTGGGTCTTATCTGAAATGTAAGATGTTATGTACATTTTTGCACTTGTGTCCTGTGTTGGAACGATAATATGTAACTTTCTTTATTTTAATAGACCCGGGCATATGTGCAGTCAACGAAGACGAGGTACTTCCATCGCACACACAAGTGTGTTTTCACGACACGGGTGTGAATACGCCAGTCAGCAAGTCGAAGTGCAGCCAAAGTGGCAGCGTCATCAACATCACTGCTGTTTATGTTGGTGTTGACAAGGACATTTCCTGTGTTAATAAGCCAGGGCGAATTTCCCATACGGACGCATATTGCTGTCCCCCAGACACAGCAAAAGACGTTTCACTCAAAGCTGATTGTGTACAAGGTTTAAAAACAATCAACGACAAGAGCATGAAAACAAGAGAATGTACAATTAAAGAACCGTGGGTTCTTCATGTGCGAAAATCCACTGGAGCTCCCACCAAACTGTTCTCGAGTTACGTAATAGTTGAATACAGTTGTGCACAGATTCCGTCTCCTGGTGCGACGAGTACAACCAACAAAAAGGATGCGTCTGTTTGTATAGATGTATGCAGTTCAAAGACTGTTAGAGGACCTATAGTTGTCATCATTCACGCCCGAGATGAAGCACACTCTGGCACATGTACATGTAGTATTATGTCGAGGAACTGCGTCACAATGAAACTGTTAACCAGCTTCCAATGTAATAGTTGTGTCAATGGCAGTCTGGAGGAGGGACACTGCTGCTATACGGACAGTGAGAAATCAGAGTGTACACAGAATATGACCATCACAATTAATACTGATTTCATGGGGAAAGGACAACTCCTAAACTTTAGTGGTAAGTTGATCACTCCAATTTACAGTCTAGACCCCGTGTGGACTCTGGGGTAGAATTGGTCCCCAGCAACGGATCGAGTACTTTACTGTAACAGGCTCGGTATCTTGGGTGATGGTGTGTAATAGTTCCAAACAGCGTGGATTGTTCCTCAACGTATCAGTCACTGGAATGTCTGGTCCTGCCTCGATTATTTACAGGCCGTCGTCATATAGCTTTAATGTAGTGCTGAGCTCGGCGCCAGACAACAAATAAACAAAAAACACGTAGGTTTCAGTGAGTGTGTAGGGTTCATGCTGTTTTTTAAGCAATAGTCCAGACACATTACGGCCGATTTCACACAGTGTACCCGTATGGGGATTCAAACCATATACTTAAGTGTCACGAACGAGCGCTTTAACCACTTGGCTATCACACTACCTTTGGTTTGAATGGTCAGATAAAATATTGAACAAATTGTTAATATATTTTGAATGTTTACCAGTTTCAAACTATGGACAACATTGTCTCCGGCTAAATTTTGAGGTAGAAATTAAAAGGTCTCTAACGGGATCGGGTGGTCAGTGTCACTGACTTGGTTGATGCAGGTCATTTGCGTGGGTCGATGCTCATGATATTAATTACTGGATTGCCTGGTCCAGATTCGATTATTTACAGACCGCCGGCATATAGTTGGAATATTACTGAGTGTAACGTTAAACAACAAACAAACAAACAAATTAAATTTTCAAAAACACATAAATTATGTGCTTGTTGACAGGCAGGTAGTAGATGGTATCGGGAAATGGCCTTGAGTTGCTGTTTGTTGTGTATTTTCATGTCGAGGCAACTGATGCTGTTACAGGCCACGGTGGAGCCAAAACGGATGAGGGCAGTGCAGAGTTAGTGGTCAGCTGTAATCAAAGATCACCAACCAATCCAACCAATCCAACCAATCCAACTAATATTGATGGTAAACTCCTTCACGTATGACAAAAGAGACACAGACAGGGGAGGGGGAGAGAGAGTAAGAGAGAGAGGGGGACAGGGAAGAGAGAGAAAGGAGAGAGAGATTGAGAGAGAGAGGAAGGAGAGAGAGAGAGCGGGAGAGAAAAGGAAGGAGAGAGAGAAAGAGAGAAGATTGAGAGCGGGAGGAGAGAGATTGAGAGAAAGATGGGAGAGAGATTGAGAGAAAGATGGGAGAGAGAGAGAGAGAGAAAGGAGAGAGAGAGGAAGGAGAGAGAGAGAGAGAAAGAGAGAAGATTGAGAGAGGGAGGAGAGAGATTGAGAGATAGATGGGAGAGAGAGGAAGGAGAGAGAGAGCGGGGGAGAAAGGGTGGAGAGAGGAGAGAGGGGGAGAGAGATTGAGAGAAAGATGGAGGGGAGAGAGAAAGGGAGAGATTAGAAAGGAACACCGAGGAAGAAAGTTTCATCAGCGACATTATAGTCCCCGAGTTAATAAAATCACATGCGTTTCTCACAGAATACTCTTAAAAATATGTTGATAAAAAATATACATATACTAGAATGTTTTATATATGTTTGAATATATTTCATGCACGAAACTCAAATTGGGAGTTTAGACATTACAATCGAGTTACCTTGAAACTTCCCCAGACAAAGACAGCAGTCACGTCCGCACGGCAACAGTTGCAGCAACAGTAACATCGGTGACGCTCCTCATCGTGGTCATAACCCTGGTTGTTGTAGTAGCAGTTAGAAGGTAAATACAAACGACCACGCGTTTCAATAAATTGACAAGTATTTATTCAAAATGCATTGTATTGGTCTCCATTGCCATGTACCAAAACTACGGACAATTATTGAGTACCAACAGTGTTCAACATAAAGCAAATTATAGACTGATTTTCTTATTAACCTTTTGTTCTAAATATGTAATACCGAATAATGGAAGTATTATTCCAAATACACACATGATTCCATCCCTTCATTACTACATCAGGGGCAGTCGGGTAGCCTAGTGGTTAAAGCGTCCGCTCGTCACGCCGAAGACCCGGGTTCGAATCCCGACATGGGTACAATGTGTGAAGCCCATTTATTGTGTCCCCCGCCGTGATATTGCTGGAATACTGCTGCTAAAAGCGGCGTTAAACCATACTCACTCACTCACTCACTCACTCACTCACTCATTACTTCATCTATACAGAAGAAATTATGTCATGAATCATACTATGTCAATTGACACGTGTTTAGGAGAAGGAGAACAGCGAGAAAACCTCCTATCTACATGACGGGAGAAGAGTCAGGGCAGAGACAAAGTGGGGAAACAGGACCTTCTGGCTCCAGTCCTAGCAGAGGTCAGAGTTTGCATGGAATGGCATCGGCATCAGTTCACCATCCGAACGAGGGTGTTGCTGGGGGCATGGATGATCAGGCAGCCGGCGTGAGAGCTGAAGCTGCTGATGCGACTCCAAACCAAGATGCTGTTGACGAGGGCATGTATGACAGTGCTAGAGGCCCTAGCCAAGGGCCAGGAGGAGGAGGAGGAGGAGGAGGAGGGGGAGGGGGAGGGGTGTACGGGAAGCTGACCCGGGAGTCTGGAGAAGAGGATGTGTATGACCATGCAAATAGCGGTAAGGTCAGGAAGGTGCAACAGGTGACGGGCATCTACGGGAGACTCAGCCACCATGCGGATGACGATGTGTATGACCAAGCCAGAAGATTAGAAGTAACGCCGTCTGTGGCGGATGGTAACACATACGGGCGTTTGGAGGATGTCGCTGAGGAGGATGTCTACAACCACACTAACTCCACGAAATCTAAAGTGGGAGCACAAGACAACGAGGACTATTCGACGCTTAAGCAAGATGTGTAAGTGGCGGAAAAACGCTTTATTTATTTTTTTCAGATTGCTATATATTTCTCCATGCGCCAGGTTGGGGTTCGCCCATTTGATACCGTAGCTCCTCCTTTCACAGAACAGATAGTTTGTCGTTAAGTAGTAGCCGATAAAAAAATCTCATTGTTAGCCTAGTGGTTAAAGCGTTCGCTCGTCACGCTGAAGATCCGGGTTCGATTCCCCACATGGGTACAATGTGTGAAGCCCATTTCTGGTATCCCTTGCTGTGATATTGCTGGAATATTGGTAAACGCGGCTTAAACAACACTCACGCACTCCAAATTGAAACACAAGGCTTAACCCACAAATCGGTTCGTACAAAACTAAATTGTGAAATCAGGAAATGACAACACAAGATCACTATTTAATCAACACATTACATTGAAACACAGGTTAAGGTGCACCGTCACAAAAGGCAGTACAATAGGTCAAATAAGTGGCGACAGAAATAAGTAACAGACCCTATAACTAATGTCAGTGCAGTAACGAATGCATCTACCCGTGGCAAGGGTGTTAACTGATTACAAAAGAACAGTTTCCACCCTTGCCGAACTAGGCTGGAATTTCTGGGCTTGGTCGTAGCGCCAGTGGCTTTTGCGAGTTATGTCCCTTCTATGTCTCTCCTATAGACCAACCAGATTCCACCTCTCATATCACTTGCAATTACTTCAAACAAAATGGCAGCGCCCAGCCAAGACCATCTGATCGATAATCAAGATCTATATTGTAATATAACGAACCTTACCTCCTGAAGTGCATCAGATCACTTGAGCACCATGTGGTGTTATGCCCCTTGTATATGTCAAGACGTGTGTTGATGCGCTCCGTCAAAAAATCATCTTAATGTCGTATTATGACCGAAATTGACAGAATTGAAGCTGAAGTAAGTGATTGACATAATACCAGAGACCGAAGCAAGAAAATAAATGGCGGCGATCGAGGTCTATAGAGCAAGAATTGGACTTTTCACTCAACCAAAAGGTTTGAGCTATGCTGTGAAACGCATAAGAAAATGTTGATCTGTATTCATATTTACCAAAAGAGCATGTTTGTGAACTTGTTTACATCAGTGACGTCACGTCATTCAAAATTGAATGGTCAGCTTGGCCACCTCAACCTTCAGGTGCTCCAGACGCGTGCCTATCAGATGGTAATCCGCTGCCCGCTGAAGTAATAACACATAGAATCCTGTGTGCAAACCACATCGAAATGAATCCCGGACAAATTACCTCAGCAGAAGTCAACGATACCATTTTGAAGGAAATCAAATGCGTGAAATGTGACCTCGGAAGACAGATAACCACACTCTCAAATGAGGTTCGAGATTTGAGTACCAGATTTAATAACATTGAATCCAAGATGACCAATCTTCAGAGTGACATGGAAACTGTACAACACAATCAGAGTATAATGTCCGAGGACGTTGGTTTGATCTCCGGCAAGAGAGAAACTAGCACAGTTCGACGGCGAGATCGACATGCTAGATGCATTTAGCTGGCGTGAAAACGTTATCCTCCATAACGTGACAGAGGAAACAGGGGAGACGCACACTGATTGCAAGGTCAAGGTACTAGATATCTTGAACAGCCATGTTCAGACCAAGACATGGCCGGAATTCCAGCCAAGTTCGGCAAGAGTGAAAACTGAACTTTTATAGTCAGTTAACTCCCTTGTCTCGGGAAGATGTGACGAATTTTAAGAATCTGTCACTGTCGAATGTCTTGAATGAGGAATGTGTCCATGGATCCGGAGCAGTGTCGGAGGGTAATTCAGTGTTTTCCGATAGGGATCCAGTCAGCAGTTGGCAAGTAGACACGACCCAAGTCAGGACGTAGATAGCCTCGATTCGGCCCCGTGTCGCTCTCATATAGGTACAGTGAGCCCTTTAGAAACTGTCACAAAACCTCTCGAACGATCAAGACTGTTTTGTTTGTTCACAACAACGAAGGGAGGCAACTTATAGTAACACTTCCGGGAAAGATTTGCCACTACAGCAATGGCTATTTTACTAGCGCAACTGTCATCACCGACAATCACCGGCTGACAATCACCGGAAATAAACCCGCAACATTCTCTACTTAAGAAATAACGAATCGTGGTCGTTGTTTATCGTACAATAAAACACTGCAGGGAGAATAAACCATAAGGGGCGAGTGGTATATTTTCCCTGCAGTGTTTTATTGTACGATAAACAACGACCCCGATTCGTTTAGTTCTTATATGACGTATCAACATTACGTACATCCCCTTTTAATAAGGATGTTAATAAAAAGTACACCTTTGAAAATATTTACCCGTTTTTGAATAATGATTACTCCCTGAATAGATTCCGCCCGGGGCAATGTCGGGCAAGTCCATTTTATTGACAGGTGGGTATTTCCCGTTATATCGTCACAATTCTGACGTCGATAACCTGAGCCTTTTCTCCCAATACCGATTGTCATATCTCCCTCGCTTTTGGGCGTGCTCGTTCGGCCATCTGAATTGCCCAGCTACATCTACAGGGAACAACTCACTAGACTCCCCTCTAAAAAATAACGTTGTCCAATATACGACGTCATCAATTTGCGAGCGCATGTTCGACTCTCCTGAAATGACGTCATGATACAACAATGTTTTATTTGGAAATAAACCATTGTTCTTTGCGATTTATCGCGTAGCTATCTTATATTGCCACATAATATCATACATAAGATGTATATATACCTGTCCATATTTCTTTTACAAACTTTGTAAACTCTGTAGTATATATTTAGTCACGTTGTACAAAGACGTCGAAATATATGTGGTCAAATATAACACTCTGTATATACATATGTGATGGCTGTATTTATGTTAGACACATACATGTAGCTGTGTGTCTGTATGTATATTGTAGCTGCAAGTGTGTGTCTGATGTAAATACTAGTATGTCATGGCTGTCGTTTTAATATCTGATGTTTATGTAGCTGTTTCAGCCCACCTACATTGTTGTACATTTTTTATTTGATGTACATCTATTATAAAATTAGGTTTTCAATGTTTAAATATTCATTCACCATGCAATAAACCATTTATAAGCGTTTATGTGCTCTATCGTCAGAGTAATATCGATTATGTAGTTTGGCAATCGCAAATATCGTGCTCACCTTGCCTTTGATACGCAAGGATACGCTCACCTTGCAACGAACGCCTTTTGTCGTCACTGTTTGATGGTGATTCATAAACACATGCTCATGAATGGTCGGAATCATACAATGTAGTTTGCTTTAAGTAGAGATTCCTTATGCTTATGGAAATGTTTTTTGTTGCTTTTATGTACATTTTTGTTGTTGTTGGCTTTTTAGACATGTTTATGTAACCTGGAATACATTTATGTTTTGTTATGACTTACTTTCAGTAAACCCATTGTCAAAAGCAGGTTTCTTGATTTGTTTGTTTCATTTGTTTACAAATACAATGATTGAATGAGTAACGCCAGGTTGAACACCATACAAGGACTCTACAAAACAACGTATGAGCGATTACTTTATTCACAGAAAACATGGAAATGTAGTTGAAGGCAATAGTTATAATTTAACATTTACATTATTTAATGTCAAAGTTCGTGTAGATCAGAAAAAACACACTATATAAATGTATACTATATATGTCTATAACGGCGAGGGGCGGTCGGGTAGTCTGGTGGTTAAAGCGTTCGCTCGTCACGCTGAAGACCCGGGTTCGATTCCCGACATGGGTACAGTGGGTGGAGCCCACTTCTGGTGTCCCCTGCCATGATATTGCTGGAATATTGCTAAAAGCGGTGTAAAATCAAACTCACTCACGCACGCACGCACGCACGCACGCACGCACGCACGCACGCACTCACTCACTCACTCACCCACTCACCCACTCACCCACCTCACTCACTCACTCACTATAACGGCGAACGTGGAACTTCATGTTTCCTATCCGAATAATAATATCCTAAAACCTAACTTAATATGACTAGTATGATAATCCTTCCTCTGATTATTCCTTCCAGTGATTGATGTCACGAGCATCGATCCACGCAACTAGGATACGATGACATGCATCAACCAAGTCATCGATTCTGACAACCCGATTCCGCTAGTCGCCTCTTACGACAAGCACAGTCGCCTTTTACGGCAAGCATGGGTTGCTGAAGACCTATTCTAAATCGGATCTTCACGGGTATCTTGATATCAGTTCGCTGGTTTTACTTACAGTGAGTGAGTATGGTTTTACGCCGCTTTTAGCAATATTCCAGCAATATCACGGCGGGGGACACCAGAAATGGGCTTCACACATTGTACCCATGTCGGGAATCGAACCCGGGTCTTCGGCGTGACGAGCGAACGCTTTAACTACTAGGCTACCCGCCCGCCAGCCCGCCAGCCCGCCAGCCCGCCAGCCCGCCCCGTTTTACTTATGGAGTATTACTACATTATATACATAAACGAAACGGAACATCCACTGTGTATATTTGTTTGTTAAAAAATGTATAGTATACAGTTATTAAATAATGTTAGTCGTATGTATGGTACTTTAGCCAGAAGCTTTAAATTAATTGATTTCACTTGTCGACGACACAAGGGAGACAACTCGGTAATAACACGATGTTTCAAATATCACATATGGACATCAGCTGTTCTTGAAAGAACACGTAAATGTATGTATTTTATATCTGTAAGTATGGCGAACGCTTTAACCACTCGGCTACCCGACCGCCCCTTAACCCGTTTAGAGAACACTTGGTGTCATCATTGACTTTCAGTGATTCATTCATATAATCTTCACCGCTATTTTGCTAATTTTCGCGCAATGAAATCTGTTCAGGCGAAAAATCGAAGTAGTTATCCTATGGCGTTTACATTATATATTTATTCAACTAGAGCGTTTATTCAGGTGTATACGGTATGGATGTAGCTACTTGGGTGGTGATGAGTGCGTGCAGCCTGCCAGTTCACACACTATATGTTATCTAAGGTCTG